GGAGTGCCTTGGGTAAAGCCACCTCTAATGCAGGTAAGGTCCATGACGGCAATTTAATTGTTACTAAGTTATAAATCAACTAAAAAATAGAGCCATGAAAGGAAATACAATAGAAAGTGTGCAAATGAAGGCCTTTTTGAAAGTATGTGGAATATGAGATAGTGGTCAAGCGTTATCTCGTATCGACCATGAGGTTCCTCGTCGCTTAGTCTGTTTGAGGCTACAACGGAATGATGGTTCAGATACCGCATTGTTTTGTTCCATTTAGTCCCCAGGATTAAGATAAAATATTGATGAATTTATCCGTGGAGATAAATTCTTCAGTATTGTAAATAGATTTGATTTAAGTGGATTTTTTTTGTTACAATTTTTCATGCTATGTTGGGTTTATGTTGTGTACAAATAATCACATATAAATTTATGGTCAAACTTTGCATTCATGCAATTAACTGTATATACTTCGAGTCACTTAAAAGCGCAAAAATCCATGACCCATGATGGCAAACCATGAGTATCTACCTCACAGATGTAATTAGCAGCATGACGTAGAGGGTTTGTAAGATTTTAAAATTTCGTGTGATAGCCTCGTCGTCACACGCAGATGAGTCACGCAAGATGGCATGCGAGCGGATTCCTGGTCTTCTGGTCGCCATGAGCTATTGTGAAATGGAGACATAAAGACTGAAGGATTCACGGACAAGTGAACAGTCTTCGTCATTGCTCGAGGCAGCGGATATCGTCTCAGTTCATCAGCAGTCTCTCAGGTGCCAGCCTCGATCAGGAAATTAGCTTCAGAAGGTCGCGTAAGAAATAAAATTCGCGTGAGGGACACGCGAGCATGGATGCGCGGTAATCGGGCTTGATCACAATGGAGGATTTTTTCTTCATTCCTTTTGCATAATAAGATAAGAGAAAATGAAAATAAAAGTGATCTTATTTGGAGGAAAAGCCATTTCTCTTGTGTTTTCCAGGGAGAGGAATTGTTTTTCTCTCCTCATCTTCCGACAGTGTCCTCTTCCAATTTTTACGTTTTATTGAGAAATACTTCTTCTCAGATTGCTAGTTTAATAAACGGTATTAGCTAACGAAGGTATGAGTAACTCCTTGAATCAGAGGAGTGTCGTCTTCATCCAGACCTCGGTATGGACGAGGTACGTTTTTGATTGTTGATATCAAAGAATTTGGACGGTTTCGTGCCGGAATCTGCGGTAAAAGCCATGAGGAAAGTCTTAATGTATCATCTGGGTCAGTTTTTCAACTCTAGCGCTAAGGCAAGTCAGGGGGTCTCCGTATGGGAACTTGCCGGCTAAATTAATAAACTTGCATTTGCTGTTACTTGCTATGATTGGTACAAAGATGTTAGCCCTTTAAACCCTTCGATTAGTAAGCATATTCTCCATACTGTTCTCTGTATATTTCCTAAGTTGCTGACAAGGAGAACTGATTTGACAATCAAGAGCTCTTTGAGCTGGAGATCATATCCTCAACTCTCGTGACCTTAACATATGATCCAGGGGTGATACTGTAAAGAGAAATTAGATGCTAGTCACTGTTTAAGGGGTCAAAGAAAGGTAGCGTCCTGTTGTCAGTTATACGACTTTATTTCGCCCAAAATTGATAAAAGAAACACAAGCTTCGTGTTAGTAAGCGCGCGATTGTTTAACTTTCTGGTCATGTTAGAGAAATTTATTAAGGAAATCAAAAAATGCTCATAAGTGTTTAGCTTTTTGCGCTATAGATTTTATGCGATTTTTAATTTCACATCCTTTTCAACTCGTATTTTCAAAACTTTATCGCATATGGTACTTGTTAGAACACTTGGGCTTACCACGAAACCAAGCGCTAATTGGGTGCGGAAATTGCCATCTTTTTCGTCTATTTGCTGGTCAGAAAAATAGCAACATAACAGCACTGAGGAAATTGTCTTGTCAGTTGTGTCTAGTGTGCAATTTCAACTGACTACACACTTCCTTTCAACAACAATCTCTGTATGTCATTGCGCTGCGCATCTGTTGGTGACATTGCTCTAAAAAGGTTTCATTAAAGAATCATTGTAAAACTCTTTAACAATGCAGGAATGTTAACATGGCATTGTCGTTTATCCTTGTTTGTTTGATTTTCAGGTTCTTTGCGCAAACAACTGGCAGTGTATTGTGTTTGCACTGTGTTCATTTGTGGTCGTTATTAAACATTCTATGCTCGTCTATTGTAATCTTATTATCACCTCATCGACATTAGTCAAATACTTGTGACATACCATGAATTACTCAATTGTTTAGGTTTGTCTTTTTTACTAAACCACGGAAATGTAAATATTGTATTTCTTCCAACAAAACCCTCTCGGTGGTTTGATTTCTTACTCGCAGACATAGATCGCCCAGGGTTTGGCGACATAGACTAGACTCTGTTTTTCAATGAAATCTCTCCTGCGAGTCAGAAAAATAGAGTGGTAACAGCGCACCGCGCGGAACTCTGGGAATGAGGCGCACGAAAAGTAGGGCGCTGTGACATGATTAGGTCGTCTGCACGTCTGTTGCCATGGCAGGATAGGGTAGCCCGTGCTACAAATAGCCTAAAGGCGCTCGGTTCGAGGAGACGAGTAGCGGCAAAGCTGGACGAGCGAAAGAACTAGTAAAGTAGAGTAGGAACCCTCTTCTCAGATCTAAACCGTTTATCGCGAATACTTCTTTCGGCCATCGCCACTGACCAAGTGTCTGACGCTGTCTGCTAACAATTTGGTCCAAGTAGTTACTCGCATCTTCAATCTCATCTCATAGCGCACCTCTCCTCGGAAAGATGGCCCTGAGACCGAACATGTCAAGACAGAGCTCGATAGACCATAGAAAGAAAAAGTTCTGCAAAAAGAGTTGTAAGGTGCAAGATAGCCTACGTGTAACCGTACCCTCCCCCTAAGGTGAAACGGAAGCGAGGTGGGGGAGGGTACGGCTACACGTAGGCTGTGAGTGAGACGTTTCGGCTCTGCTACTTTTTGATGGAAAATCAAGTAGTGATCGTTAAGTAAAGCTTAAAATGTGCGGTGAAGATTTAAAATGAAAAACTTATGTGTGTGTGCTCGCCTTGTACTTAGGTTGAACTTAAGGAGCATTCCCTTTCGAGTTCGTTACGTCTTTTTCCGCCGCAGGCTTAACGATAGAAAGAGAAAAAAAAACTGGACTGTCCCTTTCTTGTTTTTCGTCGGCCATGGTAAGTGAAAACGAGTGGCCCTGGCGCTATGAACGGTTGTTGTGCATGTGTTCCCAACCAATTAGATGTCACGAAAACTGTGAATTTAGTGACCAGTCTCTCCCAATCCAATTCTTCGGTCACATCTCTGTTTAACACTCTGCGCTCGTTCGCTCTCGTGACGCACAGAACGCGTTGCATGACGGGTCTGAACAATGGTTGCTAAGGAGATTGGTGCCCCTACCACTGATGTCATTCCTAAAGCGCAAGTGGAACAAACAACAGAGTAAATTCTTGTTGATCTGTTCTACTGCCCTCGCCAGAAAAAATTCTGAAATACAATCTGTAGTTTGTTGCTTCGTTTACAACTAAGAAAGTCAATATACATTGTACAAGTTTCTTTGGAGGAGTATTACGTCGGAATTGCTGGATTGTCTGTTATTTTATGGGTGAATCAATCCCTAATAGTTATTTGGAGGTTTCGCCCCTTCTAAATTCACCCTCTATCAGTTCACCCACGGGTTCGCCCATCAGGTATAACAAGTTCGCCCTCGCATTTATTAGTTCGCCCCCAAATCTCTAACTCGTTTCCTTCCAGCAGAGGAAATGCGCCTACCTTGCTGATGTGGGGGCGAAAAGGAGGCCGGGGCGAACTGGCAATAACCGAAATCTCCAGATACTGCAGAGCACGATGAGCAGAAGACGAGATTTTCAGCGAACTTAAGCTGTATTTCGAGTTCTCGACTTTGTTAAATTTGCCATAAAAATAATAATTTGTTTCGTTTTGTTTTGTTATTGTTTTTTTTTCTCCATAAATTTTCTTTGGTTTGCTTTGAGTTTGATTTGACGGGGGATATTATATTTTGCTGCGAGTGAAAGTTTGTTTAGTCTTACGTAAGGTTAATGGAACATGCCCTGAATAATTTTACAAAGTGGTTATTTTTCCTTTTGGACTGAGATAGTCCTGATTTGAAGTTATTCTTATTTTTTGCACCGTTTGTTCGACAAAATTTTGTCCAATTTTTTAACGGATACGAATTTTAGGAAACATACAACTCTTATATTTCAACAGCTATCCTCAGGAGATATTGGTAATTTCTCTCTCAAGCCCATACTAGCACAATGCTAGAAGATGATTTGTTTTTTTCCTGAAATGGCTGTCGCTTACAGTAATAGCCAGCGTTGACTTGACGATTTATTTGCTGCTGACGCACCTTAAATTATTCTTCGTTCAGTAGTGTTTGTCATTACTTAAGAAATGAAATAATAAATCACGATAAATCAACTTCAATTGCATTATTTATATCACCGTCTGTGTACCAAAAATATATTCCAAAGCAACTTCTAGTATTTTCACATATTGATTACCGAACATTTGAAGTTTTTATCTCGTTCCCAATCTGTGGAAGTCTCTTTTCTTTGAGTAGAAGCGTTTCACCTTCGACAAAGGTTTCTGAAATAAAATTTGCACACTCTAGTTTGCTGAGAAAGGGGAACAAAATGAAAGAAAGCGCGCCATCGTGATATTCTGGCAGTTCTCGATTGTTATTCATGCAAATCTGCTCACATCCCTATTTGAAGCGCAGAAGTTGTAAGTTATGGAAATGTGTAAAGTCTGCTCAGCAGAATATTGATATTTTAATTGCAATATTTACGAAGAGCAGATTTTTTTCTTCACCAACAATTTTTGCCGCGTAACGTAAAGAACAGCTGTGTTGTAAACTGATTGACGGACTGGTCTTTACTGTGATTGGTTAGCGGGACGGAAGTCGTAAATGCGGCTGTAACGCAAGAAAACAAGATCGTGTTTAGTTCGTCTTCGCTTCGGATCGCCGCTTGTTCGTCTAATCAGTTCTTGACATGACCACACAATAGTTAAAAGCTCGAGGGAGGTCATCGCGATACAAGCTGTAAACTATGATTTTACGACGATAGAAGCTGCACTCTAAAGCATCTCTTCGCTTTTGCTATGTGTTATGTTGCCTTGGGGAGTTTGCCACTGTGGGTTTTCTCGATTTGAATTGAAATGGCGACTTCTCGCATCTCTTGGGACGTTTACGTCCCTAACTTGCTTGAAACAGGGACACTATTGACCAGATGGGAAGAGGTATATCAAACAACCTGTGTGTAGAACTCTTGCATGGTTCTGTTAGAACAAAAAGTCAAAATGACAGGGTTGCTTGCGGTTAACAGATCAATACCCAACAAGTGTGCTTTCGCACCAGGGAGCTTGTTGCAGACTGTCATCTTCATGATTGCATCTTGATTATCTGATGCTTGATTCGTTTCGTTTTCCAGGAGTCCAACTCAAGTCAAGGGCTGTTTTTCTGTGTCGACAAATATGGCTTCTTTTTGGGCTGGAGAGAAGAGGATAAGGTAGTTTGCAGGATTGTTTTCACTTGCCGCAGCAATTGTGAGAAATTCTGCTCGCTTTCCCTCTACAGAAATTCGTTTCCTACAGAGCGGTGCAATGTTTTGGCAAATCCTTACTCACCTCAATGAAATATTTAGGATTCTTGTCACAGACTCTGGTGGTTCACCTTTTCTCCTTTTCTCGGTATATTTAGGAAGGGAATTGTCTGGATCTTTGCCATGTGAGCGAAGTAAGACCGGGTGGTATACCAAAGGTTCGTATGTTTTTGTATTTAACAAAGCTTCGTTTAGAAATGTTTTATCGTCGCAAATCATCATTTGATTGTGGGATTACTGAGCAACAATTTTTTCTTAGTGCTTTTAATTATTTTTCGTAAGATTTCGATTTTAGAATTTTTAGCAGATTTTCTTACACAACCATGAAGATTATTCTTGTTTTCGAAATGAAGAGATGGGAAAAGCCCATAATGTGCATTCAGTGGCGGTCGAAAGAAAACTTGTGTAATGTTCACACACGTAAAATGTTTGATGGGTAACGTTCGTATCAGGGTGAAATTGTTTGTATGTTTGGATCTGTGCTCTCGATCATGAACGAAGTTGGTGGCTCGCTCTAATATCATTAAATCGCGAAGATTACACATTCTAAGCGTAGGTACATTTCTTTATTGCGTTTTTGGAACACAAATTGTATTCCATTTGAGCAATGTATTTGGTTCTGTTCGAAATAGTCTCGTTGGATTTAATTTTTTCTGAATTTGATCGTGTAAAAATTCCTGAAATCAAGTTTGCAGTTCCTTAATAACATTCACTTTATTTTGGCAAGCATCGTTCCTCTTTGGTATCGAAGGAATTCAATGGTTGAAGTGCGCATCTCTAACACCTTTGTTTACATTTCAAAAATTCGGAAACCCCGCGAATAAATTTATCTACATTCGTGTTATGGTCCTCCTCCTTATTGGGCTTCTTTAAGAATTCAGTCGGAAGAATTTTCTTTCTTTCTCAAAAAATATTATCTATTGGGAACAGACATAGTTTTTTATTGTCCACCGATGTTTGAATATTGTTTTTTTATTCAGAAAGCGCAATGCTTGAAGATTCGTGAGAGTGCAATTATCAATATACTTGTTTCCGCAACTGAGAGATTTAATTTATCTCGGCGAGGTTAACCACTGGCTTCGTAGCACAAAATTAGGAAATGAGAGTCCAGAGAGGATGAAAAATTCGATCTGTGCGGGCGATATTTGGTTTGTTTCGTTTTCGGTTTTCAGTAGAATTAGTAGTTGTCCTGGCTGATCAACTGAACGAGCGTGCGACTGAGGAAACCTTAAGATCGAAATGAAAGCAAAATGCATTTCTAAGTTGCAGCTGATGTCAACTACGACATAAAGATATAACAATTTTGACGTCTATCGTAAATGGCTGTCAAGTTTGTGTGCAATTCGTGTTTGAATTGAATATTTTTTAGTATCATCAGCAACGTGAAATAACAAAAAGTAAGTTTCAATATCGACCGGTTGAGTATTTTTTTATTATGAATTAAGCAGAGCCGGTGCGTGAATTTTCTTTGGGTAATTAGTTTTCAAGGGTGTTTTTTTGTCGCATGAATCACGCACAAGCGGTCAAATAATTTGGAACAGAAACCAATACCTGCATGTAACATCACTCTGATTGAAGGCGACCGTTTGCAGGTTTAATAAATCGTGAACATTCTGCTTTATAGATAACAAATATCTTCTTAACAGCTGAGTGCATTAGGGTTCCTGACAACTTTGTGTGGGTTTTAATTTAGCCATATTTAGAGGTGGTTTTTTTTTTTTTCGGTGTACCTTTTTCATGAAAAACATTACCTGCGAAAATATTATCGAGTTTGTTAAGAGAGCGTTTGAACTGGAAAATAAATTTAGTGTTCGATATCATCAAATTGAATTATCGGGTTGTAAACAAGTTGAGTATCCGTGAATTTAGATGGATTTATGTTTTTTCTTTATCTGCCATCTTGTAGGCATTTTGAAATACTTCCTCATCCGTACAGTTTGCATGTCACTCACGACTAACTGTGCGGGTTAGATATGCTTTCACTTAACACTTCCAGCCTAAGTTTAGTAACATCTTAATACTACAAAGTTCCTTTTTTGGATCAACTCATTGAAAATAAATGGCAACCAAAATTTAAAAACATTGTTGGAAAAATTGCTCTGCTTCTTAGTACTAGGTCAAGTATTGGGTTCTGAAAATCTAATCTGAGACAAATTTGCTTTCTGAATTTGTTTAGTACCACAGCGTTTGGGTGCTAGAGATATCAGTGGCATTTTCCCAATATTGCACACGTCTGTACCTTTTTAAATTTAAATTACGTTTTCTTGGTCGAATAATAGCTGGTTAAATGAAACTCGATACATTTTTAACCAAAAAAAAGAATACTTACTTTGGTGCCTGCACAATAAGTTTTTATGTAGTGTAACATTTAAATTTCAGTTGCTATTTTTGAGAATTATATTTTTCATTTATGACTTATTCAGTTTGGTGAGCAGAGATCCTGCTTTAATTACCAACTTGGTAATTTTCCAGAAGTTATGTCTACCAGACAAATTACAAACTATACAAAAAGGTAGTCCATGTCATTTTCCCTCGCAAATCAAAACAAATCTGAGAGATATTTTTACTTAAAAGTGATATTTGTGTATCTATTTATTTATTGGCTAAATTTCGATGGCCTGAGCCATTTTTCTTTATTCAGATTCAGAGAAGTTAGGTCTTATACTGGCCTGTTATTATGATATTCTGCATCCCTACATGAAAACCCTACTTAAATCATTTCTTGCAAATGTATGAAATGGCTGGTTGATTTTTTTTGCTATCTCAAACCAAATCTTGTGTCACAGCAAGGAGGCCCACAAGTTTGCTTTGCAGCTTGTGTTCCCTTAATGTAAGCATGACAGGTGAAATACATTTTCAAACTGGTAGAGCAATCCTTTACCAGTGAAATTTTCATGAATCCCAAGCAATTTTAGGTGTCAATGAGATGTACTAGAGGCCATGAGCTTTAATGGTTACCCCTTAAAAAAATTCTCGTCATCAATGAAGTTTTAGATAAGGCAGAAATTCAGGTTTTTCATTCCTCTGAGTAAGCTCTAAACATTTTTTGTACTCTTTAATCATATGATATTATTTAAATCAAACACTGATTTTTTTTTTTTTTACAGATAGGGCTCTTATTTTATTCTAAGTTACCAGATTATGTCATGTTGAAAAAATTTGCACCTGTCTTTGTCTAAATTATCTTCAAAGAGTTTTTGTGGCTCTTTAGAATTGATTGTCCGGTTCGTGATGTCTAAGGTCAAAATCAAGTTTTCATTGTGATGAAAAGTCTTCTTTAATTAAACATTGTTCACATTATGGTCTGTTGTCATGGAAACTTGAAAATCTCAGTAGATTTGTCATGTGTGTCACTTAAAGAAAAAACCAAATCACTAAGTGGGTCATTCGCCACAAAGGCAATGTTTTAAAATTTTAATATTTATTCATGACTTCCAAGGGGCTTTAGATACTGAAAATTAATGCTTTTTTATCAATAATTTATCACAAAGAATTGTGGTACATGTAACTCATTTCCAAATGATTGTTAAAATTTTTTTCCTTAATGGATAAGTGTTAGGATAATGACATTTTGCATAAGAATGATTTGCCTACTGCAAAGTTTAAGAGGATGACACCTCCTCATTTATTTGCTACTTGTGTTACTGTTCTGTACATATTAATTGAAAGTGTTCAGTTAACTGCTCGAGGCATTGAATTCAGTTTTTTGTTGGTGCCTTGGAGACTTTTCTTTGAACACTCAGATTAAATCTTGAGATGATCTCTTTATATCATCTGAAAATTTAGCATCAATGTTGTGTACAGTACTCTTTTTCTCATAAACATAGCTACACAAACTTATGTCATTCTCCCTGTTAAAGGATGCCAAATTGAGAGAAACGCTGCAAAGTGAAGGAGAGGGATCGTTGGAAGACAGGTCATTTACTGTTGTCTTTGGTCAAAATCTTGTGGATGTCACCTACTTGCATTTAACAGCACCATCATGTAAAATTGCAAAGGTTAGAGTAATGATGTGTTGAAGATGCATATAACCCTTAACACCCTAACACCAGTGTGCATATTCTCCGCACTGTTCTCTATACATCTCTACAGGTGTTGAGGAGGAGAATTTGTTTCACAATCAAGAGCTTCTTTAGTTGGTAATCATATCCTTAATTCTTGATTCAGGGGTGATGTTGTGAGGAGAAATTAGATGCTGGTCACTACCAGGGGTTAAAAGGTTGATTCTTTGAGTCTTAGGAGTGATACTTTATCCAGCGAAAAGGTGGTGAAAACTGACTTCACTGTCTGTTAGAGGATGCAATCTTTTAAACAACACCAAATGTAATGTAATTCAGCTGTAACACTTTAGCCTCTAAGGATAACCAGCATCTCATTTCTCATAAAATTTCACTGATGAATCAAACATTAGGATCAAGTGCATAAGGGAAATGATCCTTAACAAATCAGCTCTTGATTGTTGAACAAATTCTCCTTACCACTAACAAAGGAAATTTATAGACATCAGTATGGAGAGTATACATGCTGATGCCAGGGTGTCTAGGGATAAGAAGAAAAAGGTATCAGATCATGGGAGTAAAGTCAAACTTTAAGACAAAGGGGAGTTAAATCTTTAACTCCCAGACCAAATTTGTAATTCTCCTTACTGTCGACCATACAATTCTTATAATGTTAGTTCAGAGAATTTAGTATTGGATCAACTAATTATTCCCAAATTGATAGTTTTCTTTATTCTCATCACTTGTCTGGTTGATATGGTATTGATATTGTAAGGAGTAATTCGGTCTTGGTCACCCATGGGAGTGAAAGGGTTTATAAGCTTGGTTTCAGTATGAGTGTTGAGTTCAAGTTAACCTCTCTCAAGGCTCTGTACTTTGTGTCTGTCACACATTTCCTTCAACTTTTGTTAACATCAAAGTATTTCACTCAGTGGATACTTAAATTATATCTTCTTGTTACTTTTCTACTTGAAAGTTTATTGATATTGTAAGGAGAAATTCTCTTTTGGTCTCTCATGGGAATGAAAGTGTTAATCATCACAAGAACTCACTAGAAGTTTATTAATTTCTCAGGTGTTATTGAAATTAAATTTAAAGGAAAGAGGTTTAATGTTCTTGTTATCATTGCAAGGAATGGATTGATGGACTCCCACCCTTATTACACAACCTCAACATTTGGAATGCCAGTATCTTGACACAGTTGTTTAAACTGTAAGTAGACCATGCGTTAGTTTACTTTGGTAGATCAAGGTGGAATGCATGTATATGCAGTGTGAAATTATAGCTATCTTTGTTATCTTTTCATATGGGTTTTTTGCATTCCCACCTGGCAAATCAACTTCCTCTTTAACATAGTCTGTTGACAATTTAACAGTTGAAAATATGAACCAGAGTGAGCAATGAAAGTGGATAGAGCTTAGACAAGTTGTATATCAGCTGCAACTTCAACTGTTTCTAACATCATTCCTAACTAGTGGGGCATTATGGGCAGTGCCATGAGGTTTTTAGGCAACATACACATACATGACCAACCAATAGTTTTTCCTTTGTTGAGAATTTGCCACTTTCCCTTTCCCCTTTCTGTTCCCTGTGATTTCGTCAATGTAATCAATTCCATTTTACATATGGCTTAGTTGTATAGTTTTGCCAGTGATAGAGGCACTTTCCACTTAAGGGGCTGGCTGTTACCTCTGGCAATCCATGCAAATTGACACAGTTGGTAACAATGTACCTCTTATTTGGTTTCCCTCTTCAATGGAGTCAGTCACATTTTCATGAATATGTCACCCCAATTAAATATAATTTTGACTGGAAGACATTTCACGGTTCACTTTTTGTAATGAAGAAACAATACCTTCCTTGCAGCCATTTGCTCTCAGATCCTTAGGATCACACTTTATACACTCCAATCAACTTTTCTCTCCTTTTCCCCTTTGTATGCAGTCCATGCTCAATGTTTTTTACCTCAAGTTGTTTAAATACAAAATAATGCTCTATTAACTGATGGCTGAATCAGACTAGCGTTGTTGTTAATCTTTCATTTGCAGCTATATCAAGCTCACTGTTCATTTGGCAACTCCTTCCAACAAGATTTCTGTAAAGAAGTAAGCTTCCTTAATTAAATATGTAGTCTGATTGTCCAGGTTTAGTGTAGAGTAGTCCAGAAAAGGACTGTTTTCAGTTAGAGTGACCAATGTTTTGACAACTTGAGTAGAAGTTGTCATTAGAGACAGGTATTACCCTTGTTATAATTGCATGTAAGTTTGTAATAAATATACTTTACTAGAGTTGTAGCTAACAAGTTAAGCTTACATTAAGATTGTAAGTTAGTGCTTTACTGAGCATTTGCTGGCCAAGAATCCAGCTGACAACCATGTTTATCTACCATACAGAAGTATAGGACATACAAACCCTGGTTTATATGCATCTCATTGTGAAAGAACAGTGAGTTGTAAATGGACCCTGTTAGAAGTAAGAATTTGTGAATTTGGTCTAAATTATGGACATAAATTTTGCACTACTTCAAGGCACCTCTAGGAAATTGAAACTTGCTAAATAAATTGAAATTTCTTAACTCAAGACAGACCTCCATTTGCTATGAACTGCTTTTCTTAATCTGTTTACCTTTTTTTTTCAGTATCTGCAAGTGCCTGAATGTTGGAAAGTACGAGCAAAGAGTATTTGAAGGACTAGAAGCTATGAAACTTCCCTGTGGGAAGGTAATAATTTAAAAATCAAACTTAACATAGCTTTCTTTTCTACAATTTCATTGAGGAAAAAATGAAACATATTAAAGATGAACCCTTTATTTTTTCTAGAAAGGGGTATTTTTTTTGTCTTGTAAACAAAGTGTTCAAATTAAAAAAACCATTTTGTTTTATTTTTTCCTATTCAACAGACTGACGAACTTGACTGTTCATCATTTACCTTCGAGCAGTTTTATCAGCTCTACTTGAAAGTTTGTGGCAGGCTTGAAATTGAACAACTGTGCATTAGGTGGTAAGAAAGGAAGAAAACATCAATAAATTGTCTCCATTCTCATTTTGATTGATATTTCATTGGTTATCATTTATACAAGGTGCCTGTACTGGCATCAGACAATAGTCTGAACATAGCTTTTTGTTGGTACCCAACCAAAATTTAAGCACTGTGGCCAGACATGGGCACTACCTCCTGGGGTGGTACTCAAGTACCTTTGCTGAGCATGGGAACTTGTCTGAACATGTTTTCCTCAGCTCTCTTGTCATTTCTCATGCTTCATGCAATGCTCTCACTGAAATGGCAAACACATATTGCAAACTACAAAAAAGTTGCAGGGCACCAAGCCTTCTGCATGAGTGTGAACATACTCATTCCAGGGTGCTGGGGTGTCTGAACAATAGCCATTTTAGTGCTTAGGTGTGGCACCATGGAATGGGAACCCAGTCTGCAATGGGGCATTAGATATCTTTTGAGCCCAAAGTGAATAACTGTTAATTGATCATTTCTTTTTCTGTCAGGGGTGGTGGCAAAGCCCCCTACCTTAATGTCAACCAGCTGGTTAACTTCTTGAATCATGAGCAAAGAGATCCTCGACTGAATGAGATACTCTACCCATATTACAACAGAGAGAAGGCCCTTTCTCTAATATGGAAGTATGAGAAATCTTTGGATAACCTACAAAGAGGTATGGAATAACCCTTGAAAGGAATAAAACCATGAAATACTGCTTTTTAAATTTCCACTTCCAAATAAGTGATTGATGCAACTTTTTAGAAATAAGTTTTAATGTCTATGATCTTATTAGTAATTCTCCTTACTGTCTGCCAGTATGCATGTAATTTTTATAATGCTAGTTTTGAGAATTTGGTACTGGATCAACTAGAAAACCCTAAAACTTATATTTTTCTTTATATGTATTCTCATCATCTGTCTGGTTGATATTGTAAGAAGAAATTCTGTCTTGGTCACTCATGAGAGTTAAAGGGTTAAGGCATTTTATGGTCACCTTTTATTTTAGTATCTAATCAACATTTTCTGTCTGTGTTCTTGTGGTAGATCGCATCACTGTCAATGGACTGACAAGATATCTACTGAGTGACGACAATCTTCTTATGATGCCTAACAGAGTGGAAATTTATCAGGACATGACACAGCCTCTGTCACACTACTTTATTAACTCGTCACACAATACCTACCTTGTGGGTAAGCCACATCTTTATATCTACCTAAAGTAAAAAGCATCATGCTAACTGGTTGTGAACTGTTTTGCTCAGATCTGATGCTCTATTGTTCCAGGGCGTCAGTTTGGCGGCAAGTCTTCTGTGGAGATGTACAGGCAATGCCTGCTGGCAGGCTGTCGGTAAGAAGCGTTTTTATTGTTAACCCTTTAACTCCCAGAAGTGATTAACAAGTAACTTCTCCCTAAAATATCCATTCACCATCCAGCAAACAGGTAATGAGAATACTCAAATGTATCAGGTAGAAGTTTTTTTTCTCATCTAACACTAAATTCTTGTAACTTATTTACAAGGAAATGTGTAGCAGCTAGAAGGGAGAATTAACAATCCAATCTTGAGAGTTAAAGGGTTAAAAGCCTCACGAGAGCAACAGAGAATTGTGGAATTTAAATCCTTCACTATATGTAGTTGATTCACCATCCATAGATTTTTCCCCTTTCTCAAAAATGCTCACACTGCACACCCTAAAATCAGTTTGTATAAAAAATTATTCTACATACTGCTCTCCAAGGTGCTAACAAGGAGACTTCAAGATTTTAGATATATGAAAATTCATATATTTGCACTGCGGTGGAGAGATGAAATTAAGAGATCCTCGCAGCTAAGAACACTACTGAACCGAGTAGTTGTAAATAGGACCTGAAAAAAATTCAGGCCCGTACGGGATTTGAACCCATGACCTCTGCGATACCGGTGCATTTTTTTAAACAATCGCGATCTTCTTTGGTTGGTGATCATTTCCTCTATTCTCACAACCCTCATGTTTGACATAAGGGTGATCCCTTAGGGTTAGAAATTAAATGTAAGTAATACTCTTATAGGGGTTACTAAATATTAAAGCTTTGAGTTGTGAGACAACCTACATACACAACTTGCAAGATTGTCTATTTTATTCTTAAATTACATGGAAAATACCAAATTGAATGTACCCATTGATTTCTTTCTTTAAAGGTGCATTGAACTGGACTGCTGGGATGGGCCTGGTGATGAGCCCATTATAACACATGGCAAAGCCATGTGTACTAACATCATGTTTAAGGTGAGGTTCCCCCTTAACCCCCTCGACACCCTAACATCAGCATGTATATTCTCTATACTGCTCTTTATATATTTCCTATGGCAATGACAAGGAGAGTTAAGCTAAGAATCAGGAGCTTTTCAAAAAAGTGATCATTTCTTTTATTCTCCTGGGCCTGTTGTTTGATTCAGTGCTTATGCCTTATTGAGAAGTTAGATACTAGGGTTGAAGGTTTAAACTCCTTAGA